CCAAGATCCCAGCCCAATCTCCCCTTTCCCAGTGGGAGCCATTCCCTGGCTCCTGTCCCTGCAGGCCTTGTCCCCAGTCCCTCTCCAGCTCTCCTGGAGCCCCTGCAGGGACTTTGAGGATTCCCTGGATTTTTTCCCTTCTCCACAATCCCGATTTTCCCATTCCCACTCCCAAGAGAAGGCACAGTTCCATCCCCACAATCAAAACACTGGGAACAGGAATGTTTCAGAGCATTTCTTTGGGAATCACAGTGCTTTGGGCATTATTGCAGATAAGGCAGGCATGGGTGATCCAGAACAAATTCCAGCCAATTCCCTGGATAACCGGAAGCCACAGGGAATTCTTTCCACAGCTCCCACCTGGATTTGGAGGAGGCACAACCAGGCCTGGAGCCGGATGTGGCTGTTCAGGGGAAAAAAAATGGGATGGAGTTGGTTTTTCCAGATGTTCCCACCTGAATTTACCCACCGGAATCCCACAGGATCCTCTTAGCATGAAAGTTGGACTGGGAGCATGGATTTCCTTCTGGAAATCCCCGTTTTTATGGAATGGGATGCCCTGGATCCCTCTTTCCCATCACTGCTGACCCAGGTTTGCCAAGGGAATGCTGGGAATAAAATAGGATTTCCCATTGGAAGTGTCTCTAGGGTGAATCCCAAACTTTCAAGCCCATCCCATTCCAGGCATTCCACAACCCCTTATCCAAGCTGGCCTTGGAAGTTCCAAAGGAAACTCATGGATGGATTTTGATTCCTTGTCTTTCTGGGATAGACAGCAGCATTCCCAATGGGATGGGGGATGAGCATCCCACATTTGGCATTCCAACATGGATCATGCATCCATTTGGGGCTCTTGGGGTTGGGATCACAGGGAATTAGACCAGGATGTGAAATCCCAGAGTCCCCACAAATCCAAGAGATATTGGACCTGAATTCCCACTGTGGATTCCAGCAGAGCCCTCAGGGAATTCCAGACTCACTCTGGCACAGCTGGATCCTGGTGGGAAAGGAGCAGGGACCAAAATTCCCAAAAAACCCAAACTCCCAATCCCAGCAAGGGCCAAACAGAAGCAACTTTTGTCCTCGGCTCCTCAGATCCTTTGGGATAATAAAACCTCTGGAAAATTGGAGTGAATCCTGGTGGTTTGATGGTGGCTATAAACAGGGATAGGGGTGGGAATGGGGTTGGGAGGCTTTTAGGGAAAAAAAGAAGGAAAACGAAGCATTTAACGACGGAAAATGAAACCTCCACCCTGGGATGTGCAAATCCGGAGCCAATTCCTCCGCTCCAACTTTTGGGAAGGGGCCATGGATCAGCCAAAGCTCAGCAGCAGGGATGGGGTTATAAATCCCTATAAATCCCTATAAATCCCAAAGTCGTGCGTTTTCCGTGCGGAAAACACAGAGAAGGAGCTGCCCTATGCAATCTGGGAGATGTTCCAATGAGAATCCCGGGATTTGATCCCCCACGGATTACATCCCCATCCAACAAAGGAACTAAAATATTTTTCCCTATTTTTAAGCACAGCTTTAAAATCCCGGCCAGAGCAGGGCAGGAGTGCCATCAGCGGTTTTTCCTGGGAAACTGATCCCTTGGGATCACTTCTCCCAGCTCCCCGCTCATTCGGAGCAGCCACAGCTCCAAGGAAAACATGGAATCAAGGATAAATCTCATCCTGCTGAAGGGAGGGTGGGAAGATCCCGAACCAGCAAAGGTGCCGGAGCAGCCGGATATTAACGGGATTTTCCTGGTGGGAAACTGGGACAAGATTTCTTGCAGGGTGAGAATTTGAGGATTAATATCCTCCCAGCACTGGAAAACCCTGGGAATCATGGAATTATGGAACTATACAGGGTAGGAAAGACCTCTGAGCTCAAGTCCAACCCTGCCAAGGTCACAAATCCCCAAGTGCCACATCCCATGGGATCATCCCACTCCAGGAACAGGAGGAGGGAACAGCAAAAGAGGGAATGCCCCAGCATTCCCATTGGATCCATGAGAAACTGAGCAGGTTGTGGATCACGGATTTGTTTGGAAAACAAATCCTGCCCCAGGACAGGTTTATCGCTCCATTAATGCCTGGCAGTGGCGAGGATGGGTTGGGATGTTTTCCATAAGAATCTTTGGGAATACAAGGGAAAAATGGCTGATTCTAAAGGAATATCAGTGAGGCTCAGCCTGGAGAAAAGGAGGATCAGGAGGGACCTTCTGGCTCTGCACAGATCCCCGAAGATTTGGAGCCAGGTGGGAGTTGGGATCTGATCCCAGGGAAAAACAGGAAAAGAGGGAACGGCCTGAGGTTGTCCCAGGAGAGGCTCAGGTTGGACACCAGTAGGAATTTCCTCATGGAAAGGGTGGTCAGGGATTGGAAGTGCCCAGGGAGCTTTGGAATCCCCATCCCTGGAGGTTTCCAAGGAATTCCCGGATGAGGCACTCAGTGGGGATCAGGCACAGCTTGGACTCGATGATCCCAAAGGTCTTTTCCAACCTCAGGGATTCTGGGATTCTGCAAATACTGACACTAAAAAGACCAAGAATTCCCAAAAAAAGTGGCCGGGAGACAGCGGGAGAGGAGGAAATCAAAGCCCAGCTGCTCCTGGGATTCCTCTCCCAGTTGGAATGGGAGACCTGTGGCATTGTGGAGCAGCTCCAAGGGAAAACCAGCTCCAGAATTCCATGAAGGAGTGCAAAGGCCTCAAAATCCAAGAGAAACTGGGATTTTGTGGAGCACCAACTCCAAATCCCAGGTTTTGCACCACAACCTTTCCCACTCCCATTATTTCAGCTTTGGGAATGCGATGTGTCATCCAGGGGATTCCGGTTTTCCAACCCATTTTCCACAGGTTTATAATACATAAATGGGAAAACACAGGGAAAAGGGAAACTGAGGCTGGATCAGGGAGTGAAAAGTGCTTGGAATCTGTGGGAATTGCTCAGGCCGGCAAATCCCAAATCTTGCCCTGAGGACCCTCTGCACATTCCCAACTTCTGGATGGAAAGGTCCTTTCCCTGCTCCCTCCTCGGATTTTCACTGGAATTTGGGATTTACCAACCAGAGCAGCAGGAAAACTCAAACAAAACACAGATGTCTGGAAAACCAGGAATATTTTGGTGGAGGTTTTGGTTAGGTGACACTTCCCAGGTGGAATTCCAAAGGGAAGAGAAGTCTTTGGCAGCAGCTGGCAGCAGCCTGGATGAGGTTGTTCCTTCTCCACTTCCAAAATTCCTTCCCAAAATTCCTAGGCAGGCACGGGAGCAGCTTCAGTTGAAAGGTTTCACCAGTTTCATAGCAGC